GACTGAAATCTTTGCTTCTTCCAGTACTTTTTCAATGGATAGCTCTCTGATTGATCCAAATGTAGCTTCTATTGCTGGACAAAGATCTACTACTGTTGTAGCAGATGCCTGGATGGCATTGTTTATGACCCAAGTGGTTTCAACAGTAGATTTATGAGAGAGGGAATGGCAATAGTCTTCTCTGAATGTAGTAGCAAAAGTAATTCACCAGCCTCACTACTTAGATCCATCCCATCTTGGTAGATACTTTCCAAAGCCAGTAATAACGGCTGGAGTAATTTTAAGACAACAGCCAAGGATCGCTCATGAGAAAGTCAGCGGGTTTTCCCAGGCTGGAGTAATTTGAACTTCAGTCCCAGTGTATCTTCTATATTTTCCAAGATATTCAGTCTTTTTGGACTCTGGCTGAAAAAGAATATAATTAAGACATTAAATGTATAACTTTTTTTTAATGTCTTTTGAAGATTCTGCAGCTCATATTAGTGCTAGTTGGAGTAGATGGCCTCTGCAGTGTGTATAGGAAAGATTAGAGTTACACGTTTCTCTGAGCAAAGTAGTGTGTATAGGAAAGATTAGAGTTACATGTTTCTCTGAGCAAAGTTTGTACTCCACCATGTCTTCCAGAGAAGTTTACAATTCCATCAAATGCACACGCAAGCATCCGTTTGGGGTCCAATTGACAAGCATTTAACTCTTCTAAGATGTGGGTTGTCACAGATGCAGCTGATGTGTTTTCTATAACTTGAACATCTAGAAATGCATCTACTAGCCTACTACTAACATCAAGATAACATACACAATGACTTAATACTTGATGCCCATTTGCATCAGTGCATTCATCAGCCATGTATGCACATTTTTTTAATGTGGTGAGAGAGTTCTTCACTTTTTCAACTGTTGAGTCTTTCACTGTTGCACAGCATGCTTCTAGCCAGTCAGTTAAGTTTCTTGCAGAAAGATAGTGAGCATTTGCTGGTCTTGTTCAGAACCAGTGTTCAACTTCAAGATGAAGAAGTGACAATGCACTTAACATTGGCCTCCAGTTTGTAGTGTGTGGTATCTCTTGCTTAAATAGAAAGTATGATGCCACCGCCATGTTTGTTCACATGAACTATGTTGTATCTCCAGCATTCTTAACAGCCTCATTTAGTACTTATAAAATTGGCTTTGAAAGTGGGCTTATAAGGCTTTCTGCATGTTGATGCAGTCCAGAGGCCTGGTGTTTTGCTGCCTTTTCACGTAGTTTGTCAGCATTGGCTTTGCTGATTGGTCTGACAAACTAAGCTCCTCCATTTTTACCAGTTATACCATTGTAAAGCTTTCCTTCTCTTGCAAAAAAGCTTACGAAGGTGCACCAGTAGCCATCTTTTGTAACTTCAATAAAGGGAATACTTTGATCGACAAACATTGGGAATGCCTTTAGGTTTTGGAGAGACTGTTTCTTCAGTAGGTGGCTGTATTTGTGTTTCGGGCTAGTCGGGTGTACATACACCACTTGACACTTCAGATGACATGTTGAAATATTCTTGGTTCTTGATGTGTGTACTTCACCTTGGTTAGTTTTTGAGGCCTTTGAGTGGAAAAATTATTGTATTGTTTTTTGTCTTTTCATTTTCACTTTGATGTGCAACATATAAAAGATGTGAATAAATTAAATGCTTTATTAGGATAATGCAAATTTAACATAAGGATAATGCAAAATACACCAAAACACATAACAGAAAATATCATATTGCCTCTATATAAATCCATGGTACATGCATGCCTTAAATACTGTGTGCAGATATGGTCACCCCATCCTAAAAAAGATATATTGGAATTGGAAAAGGTACAGAGATGGGCAACTAAAATGATTAGGGGTATGAAACAGGAGAGATTAAAATGACTGGGAATTTTCAGCTTAGAAAAGAGACAACTAAGGGGGGATTTTGACAGGAGGTCTATAAAATCTTGACTGGTGTGAAAAAAAATGAATAAGGAAATGTTATTTAATCCTTCATATAACACAAAAACTAGCAGACAATGAAATTAATAGGCAGCAGGTTTTAAAAAAAAAACAAAAGGAAGTACTTCTTCACACCACATAAAGTCAACCCATGGAACTCTTTGCCAGGGGATGCTATGAAGACCAAAACTATAACAGGATTAAAAAAAGAACTAGATAAATTCCTGGAGAATAGGTCCACCAGTGGCTATTAGCCAGGATGGGGAGGGATGCAATACCATGTTCTGAGTGTCCCTAGCCTGTTGCCAGAAGCTGGGAATGGGCAACAGGGGATGGATCTGTTCTGTCCATTCCCTCTGAAGCTCCTGGCCTTGACCACTGTCAGAAGACTGGATACCGGGCTATATGGACCACTGGTCTGACCCAGTATGACCACTCTTATGTAAAAATTAATTATAATAATAAAAATGTTTAGTACAGAAACTCCCCAAGACAATGACATCTCAAGATAGCAACGATGTGAGATAACAACCTTGGCAAATAATGCATTTTAAAAATCTTGGCCTACTAGGAAACACATTTATATAAGTTTCCATTCCCAGTCACAAATCTAGCATTCTGGAGCAAAGTCACTAAAATATAGTCCAACAAACAAATGTTTATTTAACGTGCCCCTCATTTTTCCCTCCACCTCACTCCACTCGCCAGTGTTGTCCTTGGTCAGTGGAGACTCAGAGTTCAGAGGTGCTTTCACGTGAGTGCACCTCCCAGAAGGGGGGCAAGAAGGCACCTTGCTTATTCCTCCAGCTGCTCACTGTTCGCTCTGGCCACTGTTGTTTGTTGTGCCACCATTCACTCCATCGCTCTGTTGCCAATGGCTCTGTGCTGTCACCTTCTTCTGTCACCTGCCACTGTGACCTCTGCGAGTTGGTCTCTTGAGGTTCCACCCAGCTCTTAGTGATTTTAGCTGAGCTCTCATTTGGGGAACCTCACGGCTAGTGCAATCTGGGCTGTCTCTCAAACGAAAACACTGTACTCACAGGAACACTGTCCCCACAGCAGGACTAAGCACTTAGACCTGATTATCAGTGATTTCAGCTGTAGTGGTTATTTAACAAAACAAAAGACTATATATGGAGCCTAATCAGCTCTGTCTTTAAACAGTGGCGAGAGGCAGGTCAAATAGTATTTGTGACTCAGACAGACCATCAAGCAAAACACCTGTCTCCACCCTCTCTCGATGCCCTCAATCAGAACAGGTTAAGTACAGTTCTACTGCCCTTTACTCATACAATAAGAACAACAACATTTCATCTCTTCCCCCCCTCGCCCATTCAAGTGATTTGTAACCTAACCCCAGCCAAATCTATCATTTGGACAACACAGCTCTGTTTGCTGGCTACCTAGGTAGATTAGGTGTGAATGTAAATATAATCTGGACCTGAAGCCTTTCACCCCAAACCCCAGCTCATCACTAGCTTTCAGGGAGAGCTCATTTTGACTTTGCTTACAAATCAGAATTTGAAATTATTAGGTTGGCCAACATCACCAAAATGAATGCACTAACATTGTCATAAAAAAACAACAGCTGTATAAGAAAGCAAGTTATGTTCATACTTTTCAAATCTATTATACTTGTTCAGGTACACATATCTTATCATACACACTTTAAAAGTATATGCAATATTTATTAATGTTTCAATTTCAATTCAAATTTCCAATCACTAAATTGGCATGTAACAAGTTCACAAAACTTGGGGGGGGGGGTTGGGGAAATTCGGGGGGGTATACACCCCCATAGGGAGGGTGTAGGGACATCCCTGTCGGTTATCCAGCAAGTCCTGGCACTGACCTGCCCACACTCGCTAGAGCCTGCACCTGGTTCACTCAGCCCCAGGCTTGTTTCTGAGGCTACCGTCCTGCCTGGCCACATCCTGCAACCGTGCCGGATTTCTGGGGCCAGGCCAGTGCGGGCGGGGGAGACACATGGCAAAGTCCCCTTCGGCCCTTCTCACTGAGGCTCGCTCACCTCTCGGGATTCCCTGTGTGCCGGGGAGGGGCCGCGGCCAGGCCCATGCGCTCTCTCAGGATGACTGGCCGGGAGCCCCTGTCTCCTGGAGGGAACCCGAGAGCCGGCCGGCCGCCTCCCAGGGTTTCAGCTCTGACCAAGCAGCTGATGTAAAGAAAGAGAGAGGAGGGAAAGTCCTGGCCACCGTGCGCCGGCTCGGGCTATAAATGCGGCTGCCGCCCGCCCGCCCCAGCAGAGGGCTGTTTGTTGCTGCTGCCTGGTTCCTGGGGACTCTCCTCTGCCTCAGCCTGGCGGACTTGGCCGCCCCCTCGCCGCTGCCTTCCCCGGCCCCCGATCTGAAGGACTGCCTGAATGCTTCGAAATCCCTGGTAGCCGCGGCGAAAGAGGCGCTGCACCAGCTGCAGGTTTGTCGCTCTGTGCCCTGTCTTCTCCCCCCATCCTTGCTGTTGCTGCTGCCTGGTTCCTGGGGACTCTCCTCTGCCTCAGCCTGGCGGACTTGGCCGCCCCCTCGCCGCTGCCTTCCCCGGCCCCCGATCTGAAGGACTGCCTGAATGCTTCGAAATCCCTGGTAGCCGCGGCGAAAGAGGCGCTGCACCAGCTGCAGGTTTGTCGCTCTGTGCCCTGTCTTCTCCCCCCATCCTTGCTGGTGACTTTTTAAAAAATTGTCGCTTTGCCGGCAGACCTGCTTGTCTTCTCTACTAAGTAAGCCCGCTTGAAATACAATAGCTACAAGGGGGACATAAGGGCAGGTTTACACAGCAGCAGTAAGGTTATTCCGAAATAACAAAGAGCATCTCTATTCTGCTACAACCCATCATTTAGAGCTGGAGGACTTATAGACAGTGCCTAAAGCTGAGTTAAAGTAGTTCAACTTAAGCTATGCAATTGACATAGCTGAAATTAGGTAGCTTGATTGGACTTTAGGTATCTTAAGAGTTACTAGGAGTACTGAGGAAGAAGTGGGAGAGCTGTCAAATTTACAAAGGAGTTGGTATGGAATCGTTTTTCCAAAGGGAAGGCAAGTGGAGCATTGCCTCTGCATCTACATTTGTTTTGATAGATTCAGAGTGCTGTGCAGTGGTGAAAGAATGGATTCATGGTTAAAGGTTCAGATACCCTGGTGTTGGGTGCACAATCAAATAGAAGAGGTAGGGATCCATGCAGTTCAGGAAATGCAGGTTCTACTTGTACACGCTATGACTTTGGCAGAATGCTTGGGCAACATTTACACTACACATCTAGCTGTGCCACTGCACATTTGTCTGGTGTGGCTAGTTTAAGGAGTCCATGCACACATCAAATGAGAAGAGATGCTAGGACATGAATTATGACCTGGACCATGAGCTGGAAGTTTTTCATATTTAGTGTACAGAAGGATCAAGGACTCATCTTAATATATGATTTTTTTTTAAATAGGGAAATAATACAGATCTACCTCCTAATGATGTTGTGTTTATTGATATGTGTAAAATAGTTTTTAGAATACACAGATGAAAGGGCTGTATGAATTTTCATTTCTGTGAGGAGGCACCCTTTTTCTAAAGCAGACAGATCGTGTGCATTCCCAAACTGTATGTAGCCTTATATATCTGGCTCTTCAGAAATGTATGCATATTTGTTTTTATTTTGTATTTGCTTCAGCTAATCCCACTTCTGTGTCTCTCTTTTTAAACATATTACTTTTTTGATATTTCTAGATACTTGTAATAAGTTGTCCTTAATTTTTCTTAACTTTTTTCTTGCTTGTTGTTTCATATTTTACTTTCATTTGAGAATCCAGTCCTTTTTATTATTATTGTTCTAATTGTTGCCTGAAATGATGCTTGACCTGCCATCTCCCACTGGTGCAGGGCTTCAATCAACTGGGACAAATTTGGAGGTGATATAAAATACTTGTTAGTAAGCAGGTGCACTGCAGAACACAATGGGATTGACTCCAGCCATCCTCCCTTTGATATTTCTTGGTGGATTAGTTTTTTTTTTCTTTGCTGTACTATTTTATTTGGGAATTTCAGACAACAGTCTAAGATTCTGGGTTGGTTGGTTTTAAGTTAACATAAAGGTACTTTAAGTTTAGTTTCAGTTAATAGAGAAAATACCCTTCATTTTCTCAAAAGAACTTTCTTCCCTTAAAGTCTGCCTTCCAACCTGAATGGCCTTCTGTCACACAGTATCTCCCTTTGATCTGTATCCTGCTAGTGTTTGTTTTTACTTTTTTCTCATCTGTCTTGTTCAAAGATATATTTCTCCACCTCCCGTTCAGTTTAGTTAATTCATACATAGTCACTAAGTTATGTAAGACTTCCTGAAAACATGCCATCAACTGGGCAAGTAGGTAATGTGTTGGGAACTTGTTAAAGAATCCAAATACCCCAACATGAAAGTATCCTCTCATATTAGTGATAGAAATGTAGCCGTGTTAGTCTGGTGTAGCTGAAACAAAATACAGGACTATGTAGCACTTTAAAGACTAACAAGATGGTTTATTAGATGATGAGCTTCTGTGGGCCAGACCCACTTAAATAGTCACAACCATATATACCAATTGTATATATTAATTGTATCCTTTGGTATATATGGTTGTGACTATTTAAGTGGGTCTGGCCCACAGAAGCTCATCATCTAATAAACTATCTTGTTAGTCTTTAAAGTGCTACATAGTCCTGTTTTTCAGTTTTCTTTTAACTATCTCTCGTTGGCACAGTTGAACTGGTAGTAGCACCAAGCAGAATCTGTTTCTAAAATTCCCTGGCATAGGCACAGCCTTAGAGTGAGAGAAGCTAAATAGTTCCATCACCTCAATGAGACAAAGTGTCACTGAAGGATGGACACAAAATAATGCCACTTGTCCTTTCTCTTTTTGAAAAAGTAATCATGATTAAAAATTGTAAATTTGTGGTGTATAATGTTCTGAGTCAGATTCATGTTCTTAGAATGATTTAGAGTATTAAAAATGGAGGCAGTGCAATTCACTGAGATACACAGACAATATAAATCTATTTACAACCTGATCTTGATCCCAGTGAAGATGATGGCAAAATTTCCTTTCACTTTGGCTTCATAGCTTGTTGGTTAAAGTCATAAAGATATATTTGGAGGATTATGAATCATCTTCAATTGCCGTACTACTTATCCAGTACATTTCTACTTATAAATAAATGCTCTGCAGCATTATGTGCAATGAATCTGTGTCCCTTTTTGTTTACATAGGAGCTTGGCATACTAAACTTTCAATGTACCCTGGAAGCTGTTGATCTTCTAGATATCACTAAGAATAAAACCAACACACCTAAGGCTTGTATGCCAGAAGAGTCCAAGGTATTGCAATAAATAAAACTCAAGTTTCATCACATTTGTATGGAACCATCTTGTAATTCATCACAGTGATACAGAATGGTCAAATTCATGTCTGGTGTCTTTGATTTTCAGACTGGAAATTGTCCTGCACTAGAAAGAGCTGATTTTGATAAGGTAAATTGCTAGTCTCTTGAGAGCAAATCATTTGTTTTTTGTTTGACTATAAACAGTACTCTCCAACATTTTTTAATCCTTGTATCTTCTACAGAGTAAATGCCTGCATGGTATCAAAGAAGACTTGATAGCTTACAGGGCAGTGTTCAAGAATTTCAGTATAGCTTACAAGGCAGAGTTCAAGAATTTCAGTAATCAGAAGATGCTGACTGCTATTGACAATATGATACAGGTATGTTTTCCTTCCAATTGACTAAAGATTACTGTATATTATTTCTATATCTTAAACTGAGTTCTGTTCTATATGGGTTTGATTTTTTTTTTTGTCTTTGTTGTTACCAAGGTAAGTTATTCTGGAATCTGATCATTTAAAATCTTGATTATGCTTTTTTTCATTAAATTGAAGGTTTATCTTCTTTGTATAAATGGGGGTCTTACTTTGATACTGTATATTACGGTTTTAAAACGGTGATTGCCCATAAGTGATGTTGTAAACATATCACTACTGAAATGTCTGTCTTTTTAATGGTATCTTACTATGTCTCTCATTCCTACCATAAAATGGGAGGAGTGGGAGATAAGACTGTATTTTGGTAAATAATTAATAAGTATTGATAAGAAATAGGGAACAGATGTAACATGGTTATTAACAAATAATAATAGCTGGTAGCAACATGGCCCCATTTTAAAATAATTGCCTTTTTTATTAACATAGCATATCCAGATACATTGGAGATTCTAATAGTTGTTAAATGAGCTAGATTTAAATATTCGTAAACCACAGCTTCCCCTAGTTATCTTTTTAAAGGCCCAAAACTGTATTCCTTGGCAGGGGAAAAACTAGTTACATCATAAGGAAAGTTTGCCTTCATAAGCAATACAGATTTGGGCCCTAACTATATGAATTGTATCATTACTATTATAGTCTACCTTTTCATAAACTATTTTATTTGTAATTTAAAATAAGCTTTTTATATTCAAAGACTAATGTATAGTTCTACTCTAAATATGATTGAATGATCTGACCAACTCACTTTTTTTAAGGCTATGAAAATTAAGAATGTGAGTAAGGCGACGCAACCATCTACAAACAGAGGAGGATCAGCCTCTTTCAATGACAGAATGAGGTTATGTGGTGTTTTCCATGCTTTCAGAATTCGTACTGTGACCATAAGCAGGATGATGAACTACTTGAACACTCCTGAAAGCTCATCATAATCACTGAAACCTGAAAGCACTTTCTTATTAATCAAAGCAATGTTAAGTATATGAGAAACATATTAGGTTCTTGTTGTATGACCTCTGTGTGCAGAAAACTCACTGAAGTCATTGGCGCTTGTACACACGAACGGTTACCAGGACTGGACTTGAATTTAAGAATACAATAATACTTCTACAAAAATGTTTCAATGATTAAGCATAATTTATGATCTAAGCTGTCTTGAGCAAATTAGTCAGTGTCTTTTAAGCTAAGATGTTAATTTTCTACATTTTTAGAAAAAATAAGCTATATTGTACCAGCATGTTCACAACATATCAAACTCAGATGTAATTTATTTATCTTAAATTATTTATTTATATATTTGTAATTTTTTAAAGTTTAAATGTTTAGTGTTACAGTCACTTTAAGAACAGAAGTAAAAAAGAAGATGTACTTGCCAATAACATGGAAGGAGGTGGATTTAAAAATCACGGCCAGGAACATTCCTGGTTTATTTTTTATAATATTTATGGTTTAATAAATTTATAATTTGTATAATAAACATTTTATCTTTTTCTTATTTGTGAATTAAGATCACTATGAAAGGAATACCATTACACGAGCAATTGTGTTCTAAAAAAACATGTAAATAGTTGTGAACCAGTATATCACTGATACCACCTAAATTAGTATTGAAAAAAATCTAATTGCATTTTCTCTGTTTATATTGGATGTAGACTCTCAGACAAGACAATGAAAATAGACTACTCTGTCTATTTTATAATTAGTTTCCAGTCTCTATAATAGGCTATAATCTAAACAAAGGGATGTAAATTAGCCATATCAAAAGTGCAAATGAAACCAGGATTGAAATATCCCGAGCTTCATTTGCATAATGGTGCCCGCCGCTTTTTTTTTCGGAACAGGGCTTTTCGAAAAAAAGCCAGCTGTTTAGACAGGGCATTTTTGACAGAAATACCCCGTTTCGAAAGATCCTGTACTCCTCAAAAAATGATCTTTCAAAACGGGGCATTTCTGTCGAAAATGCCCCGTCTAAATGGCAGAGTTTTTTTTTTTTTTCTCGAAAAACCCCATTTCAAAAAAAAGCGGCGGCCGTCATTATGCAAATGAAGCATGGGATATTTCAATCCTGGCTTCATTTGCACTTTCAATACATGTAATTTACATCCCTCTGCCAACAGAGGGGTGTAGTTTAGACGTAGCCATAGATTCAGAGGGTGAAATCCTTGTCTACCTTAAGTCAATGGAAAAATATTCTGTATAATTATATAATAAATATTGAAGGCCAGGAGGACATTGATCTACTTTGTCCTCCTGTACAATACTGTACCACAAGCCACAGAATTTAACCCAGTAGTCCATGCAACTGAAGCACGGGTGGGCAAAATATGATCAAGAGGACTTCTCTAACTTGGTCTGAACAGGAAAGCTCCACTGGGTTCAACCCTGGAGCTCCATGCTGTGAGGTACAACAACTCGAGGTTCAGATGTTGAAGATGACTGTGATCTTGTGTCAGAAGGTCCAGGAAGAGCAGCAGAGTAACCAGGCCTGAAACAGATACATCTAGGAGTATCAAGTATATCTAGGATACATCAAGTCAATCTTTCTTTTCAAAGATTGACTTGCACATTAATCAAGCTTTCATCAGGAAGAGTGTGTCATGGGCTATATCTAGACTGCAAGCCTCTTTCGAAAGAGGCTCTTTCGAAAGATACTTTCGCTCTCTTTCAAAGAAGCCCTATTTACATTCAAGAACGCCTTCTTTCGAAAGAAGCACTTTCGAAAGAAGGCGTTCTTCCTCGTGAAATGAGGTTTACCGCCGTCGAAAGAAAAGCCGCGTTCTTTCGATTTAATTTCGAAAGAAGGCGGCTGCAGTCTAGACGCAGGTGAAGTTTTTTCAGAAAAAGGCTACTTTTCCCGAAAAAACCCCTGAGTCTGGACACAGCCTTAGACTACAGGGTTTTTTCGAAAAAAGTAAGCTTTTTTCGAAAAAACTTCACCTGCATCTAGACTGCAGCCGCGTTCTTTCAAAAGTAAATTGAAAGAACACAGCAATTTTTTCAATCACAGTAAACCTCATTTTACGAGGAATAACGCCTTTTTTCAAAAGTACTCTTTCAAACAAAGGCGCTATTGAAAGCAAACTGTGCTTTTTCAGAAGAGAGCATCTAGACTCTCTTTCAAAAAAGCGGCTTGCTTTTTCAAAAAATTTGCTTGGAGGCTAGACATTCTCTTTCAAAAGAGGCTTGTAATCTAGACATAGCCATATAAATGAAGGAAGCTCCTCTTTTATTCTAATTAGTTAGCATTTTGCCAAATATATAGCCTATAGGAACCATCTTAAATGATCCAGTGTGGTATTTAATCTGGAAGTTAAATATACACAATTTAAGCTCTTCAAAATAATTTCAGTTGACAGCTGGTTTAAATTACTGAATTAATGAAAACATGTAAAGAAAAAATATGAATTTACCTTACAGCAACTTAGAAACTGTTGTGGTGTTTTGTTTTGTTTTTTTTCAAATAATTTCTAGGGGACTTAACTTGTCTCTCTACCTCAGAAGAATAAGGAATCCTTTATGTGTGATTTCTTCTTTCCTTCTTCTTAATAGTTTAGGTGCTGATCGCACAAAGAGATCAACACAGGCATATCCCTATACACAACAGTTCAGCTCCACTTTAGGACCAGGGCTGTAACCATCTTTGCAATTAGATTGAGTAGGTCCATATATTTTATATTGTATATACAGCAGTTTACTGCTTTTTAAAGTAGGAGTATGTGTTATATTCATCAATAACCTAGGAAGCACACAAAACCCAAAAAAGTAATGTATAATATTCTCCAAATAAAATAATGTTCTAAAGGGTCTTGTTTTATAATTAACCATGGACATGGCTACACTACAGCGCTATTTCAAATTATCTTATTTTGAAATAGTTAATTCGAAATAAACTAATTTGAAATAACGTATTTATACACACAATCTATTTCGAAATAGCGTTTTGCTATTTTGAAATAGCGCATCCACACTGAGTGGACCTTGAACCGAAGTTAAGGCTGGCCAGAACCAATGCCGGCAGGGCATCAGGTTAGGCTTTAGTGTGTGGGTCAGCTCCCTGAGGCTAACTGAGCTCCATGCTTAAAGGGACCCTACCCCCATCCCAGACAGACAGTTCTCAGGGTTCCCCTCTTGCTTGTCTACCTCAATGAGGGACCGCAAAGCATTCCTCTTTTGAAGTGCCCTGAGTCGCCGCACTTGGGACACCACAGCACTCAGCCACATGGAGCCAGAGCTGCCCCTGGGTACACCGGTGCACCTCGTGGGGTCGTTGCCATAAGCCCGGATACACTTGCTGCAGGCTGCCATCTGGGGGGGGGTCCATCAGGCGGCTGTCAGGATCCAGGAGGCCCTGCGGGAAAGCGTCCTCCCCAAGGAGCCCTCAGAGCCTCCCTAGTCCTCCCCACAGGTGGCTCGTGCCCCATTCCTCCCTCACGTCCTTCCACTTACCCCTTCCTAGCCCCCCTTCCTGATGGCAAATAAAAGACACATATGTTCAAAAATAGAAACTGGATTTATTGAACAAAATTTTTGGGGGGGTGAACCTCTGGGGAGACTTGGAAAAGTCCGCAGCAGAGGCCAGAGCTCTGGGCTCTTTAAATCATCACTGGAGCCCTGTGCAGTGCACTCCAGAGGTCTCTAAAAGACAGCTGAGGAAGGTTAGCCCCCATCCCCGTCCCTTAGGCATGGAGCCGGGCCCCTTTCCACCTCGCCCAGCGGCCCGGCAAGTCTCTCCGCAGCCCTGCCTTTACAAAGCAACTTTGGAACATGAATGGAAATCAACACTCTGGACATGTGCTATCAGGTGAAAATCTGATCATAATGACTTTCTTCATGTGGGCGCAGCCAGGACCATCTTGAGTGGGGGGGTACAGGGTTAAGACCAATCCCCTCCCAGGGGCCCAAGCGCAGGATGCGGTGCAACCTCCCCCACCACAGGTCCCACCTCCGCCTCCATGCCACCCCTTCTGCAAGCCCCACTTCTGCACCATACCCACTCCCCTCCTCTCTTTCCACCCACAAGAAATGCAGCCTGAGTAACTATGAGGTCTTGGTGTGGCTGCAGCAGGAGTCATCCTCCCCACTCACCATGCGAGTGATGAGAGCCAGTGCAGCCCAGCAGCCTGCTCTGCCTTGCCATGTTTCCTCTCCTGGTCTGCTGAGTCCTGCTCCCAGACCGTGGGGCTGGGAGCTCTCCTTCCCACCACTGTGGGGAAGCCAAGCACGGCAGAATGGGAGGGTGGCACAATGAAGCAGGTGAGTGCAGGGAGGGTGACCCCCTGCTATCACCTTGAGCCAGGCCCCCATCATCCTTAGGCCCCTCAAATCCATTGGGAAGGTTGGGGCAGCCGCCGCAGGGCCCCCAAAAGTGCAGGGCCTGGGATGGCTGCCCCAATTGATCAAAAAGGCAGGATGGCTCCAGGCACATCAGTGTTCAGCCACTGATCTTAGCTTCCACCATGAAAACAGATAAATCTGCCACCAATCAAAAAAGCGCAAAGAGAACCGAAAGCAATGTACATGAATTGAGGAACTCCCATTGACCAGAGAAACAGTAAGGCAATAAAACTCAAAACTGAGGAACATAGGTATAGAGGGGCTCTCCCTACTGCAGCAAAGCTTGTGGGAGGGCTTGGAGATCCCCTCATAGATAGCTCTCCTCACTGTTTCCATTGGAGGGAACAGCATTTCTCCCCTCCCCCTCTCTCCCGCACAAGAAGATACACCACTAGCCCCATGTGAGCTCAAACAGATCCCAAGGGAATGTCAGGAGACCAGAGCATGGCATTCTGGGCTCCCAGCACTGATTTCCACTCTCAGTCAGCAAAGAGTCACTAGAGATACACAGCCAGGGATTCTTCCATTAGTAGAAACTCATGGAACTCCCCTTAGAAAGGAATCTACATCATGGAATGGGAGCAGCAGAAACACAATACTCTGGCCCAAGTTTCAGTTAGGGAAGGAGATAATTAAGGTGACCATATTTCCCTATGCTGAATACAGAACACCTAGTAAAATTATTCCTATTCCAGTGAGTTCAAAGGCAATAAATCAAAACTACACAGTACACACATTCAAATTAACATCAAATTGACTGAGCCCCTGTGACAGGGAAGCCGATCCACGCACTCAGCCTGGCGGGCCGGCGGGTGCCGGCAGGGAGGAAGGGCCGGGGAAGCTGATCCCCGTACGCAGCCCGACTGGCCGGCGGGCGCCAGCAGCGGGGAAGGGCCAGAAGCGGCCAGAACGAGCGCCGGGGGGACCGCCACGGGCACTGCAGACAGCCCCAAGCCAACTGCCTGCACAGCTGCAGACGGCCAGGAGGCCAGGTGGGCAGGCACTAGGGCCCAGGAGGCGGGCTCGGACGGAGGGGGCGTAGGAGGATGGGACGCCGCCCAGGACACCCAAAAGGGCGAACGTGGGAGCCAGGGCGGGGGGAGAGAGCGGGGACTGGCTGTGCTCTCAAACCCCACAGGCGGCGGCGAGGCACTTGGACGAGGGACGGCTCGGCAGGCCCCAGCCCACCAAAGCAAAGCCGCGGCCAGCAGCGGGCAGAGCGGAAGGGCCAGACGGAGCCGTGCGGCAACCGATGCCCGACCCGGACGAGCACGGAGCAGGTTGCTGCGGAGCCCGGGAGCCCCAGGAGAGGCTGGCAGAGCGGCCGGCGAACGGAGGACGGCTAGCGTGAGCCGTGGACGGACAGGGAAAGACAGAACAAGTGGGGGAGCAGGAGTGTGGGGCTGTCCTCTCCCCTGCTACAGCCCCCAGGAAAAAGAAATACTGTGTAGCTGGATTTGTTTTATTTACCTTTTTACATTTAGGGTTCACATAGGGAGTGACACATACTCCTGTGCACCTCAGTCACACAGTGGGGAGGGGATGGCTGGTAACCAACTGCCCCAACCCTTCCTGCTCAGTCCTGTCCATCCTCCATGCCTGGCAACAGAGGAGGGAGTTGAACATGATCCACTGGTGGTGGGGGTATAGAGGAGCAATGGGAGTGGATGGGGGGGCTGAAGGGGCAAAGCAGGAAGATGGCAGTGAAAAGGGGAGTATGCTGATAGGTGGGCAGCAGAGGAAACATGTAATGTATACTCACCAGTCACCATCATACTCACCAGCCACCGCACTCACCAGCCACCGCAGCTCACAGCTCAGTCAGTGTGAGATGGGGGCAGGGCACTGCTGGCTGAGAGCCAGCACACTGCAGGGGCTACACTGGAGGACCAACAGGGGGAGCAGCATGGCACCACGTGCTGTTGCTTTGCTCCACCACAAGCATTGCTCACTACCCCTATCGTCAGCCACAGGATTCCCTTCCCTGATTCGCTGCTGGTGGGCAGGTGGCTGGCGAGCAGGGATCTGGCCAGCAACACAACCCATCAGTACTGATGGATTGGAGATGGAAAATATAGGACAATTTGCCCATTTTTCAGAAAAAGTTGGGGCATCTGAAAGTGTGGTTAAATACAGGACTGTCACTTTAAAAATGACACATCTGATCATCCTGGAGATAATAAATGCCCCTCCTGCTCCAACCAGCCTATAGCTGCCCTAGCTCATTCACTTTCTACCTTCTGTCTCCAAGGGACTCATCAGGTTAGTGAAGATTCCCTCAGCGGTCCAGGGGAGGTTGACCACTGCCACAGAGTCGCTGAACTCCATTCATTTATGGCATAGTCAGATCTGTGATTCCCATCCATGCATTGATATTGGGGATATAACCTCTATTGATCGTGTCTATTCTATATGAAATTTCAGTGCATCCTGACTAGACTTTCACTGCGCTCTCCTAGTATTCATTGGGTTAAGTATAAAATCTGGGCTGGCTTTACACTACTGGTGGTTTCAAATAAGGATGTAAGCAACTAGTCGACAATCCAATAAGCATATGCTTATTAGATAGTGGACTCAACTAGTAGCTCCCCCTTCTCTTGCTGCCTCTATCAGAGAGAGGCAGCAAGTGGGGGAGCAGGAGCCGGTTTCCCCCAGCTGTTTCCCCCCAGCACTATATCCGGGGGGAGGGGGAGGAGCGCAGTGGGGAACTGGCAGTGCTTCCACCTTTGAAATGTAGCAAGAGCAGGGTTCTTTCAAAAGTAGAAGCACCGCGGGAGGAGGGGGCGAGATGGGGACTCAAGCAGTCCCCCACTGGCCCTGTGCTCCCTCCTTTTGAAATGTACAAGAGCCCCAGAGGGGCAAAGCAAAGTGCACACAAAGAGCATCGGGTGAGCAGCGGATTCAAGCAGACTGCATCAACTATTCGATTAGCTGATTAACATCCTTAGTTTCAAAGTCCTGATCTAGAATGTGGAGGGAATAGTCCATAACTTTAAAGAAAGTTCTGCAGAGACTACACACAAGCATACGGTAAACTACCATAACTAATGTGAAAAAAGGCTATGGCCAAGATCTAGAAGGACTCATAGGATATGTCTACACAGCAAAGTTATTTTGAAGTAGCAGCCATTATTTTGAAATAACTTTACTAGCATCTACACAGCCAAACCGCTATTTTGAAATTAATTTGAAATAGTGGAGTGCTTATTTTGAATTTGGTAAACCTCATTTCACAAGGAATAACACTAAATTTGAAATAGCTATTTAGAAATAAGTGTTGTGTAGACACTTATTTCGAAATAGGGGGCCTCCAGCCTTCCCAGGGTGCCCTGGTTGCCACTCCAGCCTCAACCAAGAACACTCCTCTCCCTCCTCCCTCCCTGGATCCCTTAAAGGAGTTCATAAGATTGCAGCATAAAATTGCACACATTAAACAGTAAAATATGAATGGCTGGACATAACTAGTATTTATTATAGTAAGTAGCTTATTTATCCCTTTCACAGTGAGATAATTTTATCGTGTGAGGCTTTTGTACTTTCTGAAATGTCACCACTTAAATTGTGGTTTGATTTCCCACACGGACAAGTTGAAAAGGCCTTCCCTGAAACATTGGTTAGAAATGGAACCTGCACATTTTCTCTGTAAACCAAACCTTATTTTATGACATTTTCTTTAAACTGGACAAACACACTCCACCGCTCCCCTGGAGCAGTCTGCTAGCTCCTAGGAGCCTGGTAGGCACCTTCCTGGTCCAGGATGGAGATCATGGACCTTATTCAGGGGCAGGATAGTTGCCAGCCTGGCCACCAAAGGCCACATGCGAACCCCGGAGCAGGTTTGCATGAAAATCAAGTTGGCCTGTCGAGATCCCCCAAACCTGAGCCCTGAGCTTTCCCTCCCCCTTCTTCCTCTTGCTTCCCACTTCCAGCTCCCTCCTCCTAGGTTTCCCCCTTCCCACTACCACCCCCTCTTCTCCCCTCTCCCGCCTCCTTTCCCCAGTCTCACCAGAGTTTCATTCCCCCCCCCCAGTATTGTTAAATAAAGACAGTTTGTGGTGTATACATGTATTTTATTTGACATCAGGAAAGGGGGTTAGGGAGGAGTAAGTGGAAGGACGTGAGGGAGGAATGAGGTACAAGCCCCCAGTGGGGAAGACCAGGGAGGCTCTCAGTGTTCCTCAGGGTGGAAGCTCTCCCGCAGGGCCTCCTCGATACTGACAGCCTCCTGGATGGCAGCCTGCAAGAAGTCTAGCCAAACTCGCAGCAACATGTCCACGAGAAGCATCAGAGTGCCCAGGGTCAGGTCTGGCTCCATGTTGCAGAGTGCTGTGGTGTCCCAAGTGAGGGCAACCAGAGCACGCAGAGACAAAAGGTAGGCAAGGAGGGATCACTCTAAGCACAGGCCTCAGATAGCCTCAGGCAGCAGCCACACAAAGTAACTCCTGACCTGATGCTCTGCCGGACCCGGTTCTAGCCGTCCTTAAATGCAATTCAGCATCCACTCAGTGTGGGCGCATTATTTCGAAATAGCAAAACGCTATTTCGAAATGCATTTTGTGTGTAGATGCATTATTTCAAAATAACTTATTTCGAATTAACTATTTCGAAATAAGATATTTCAAAATAATGCTGTAGTGTAGACATACCCATAGTTAGTGAGCATAGCACTAAAGAGATACACATTTTCAGAAGGATGAGAACAGAATTTATGAGATCAGGAAGAATACAAAGACCTCTAAACACAAAAACGTGTTTAAGCAGAAGCAGAATTTCATCTAACAGTGAACTGGTACATGGCTGCAAAAATGAATGCTTACCTCAGATCAGCATATGATATAATTTAAATTATATTTTATTTGTGAAATAAAATTTTAAAAATTCAGAATTCCAATGAAAAATTGGTATTTCTCAGTTTTATTCCCATTTTTAAAAGTACACAAAGCCAATACACATTCGAAGCCAGACAATATAGAGAGATCCACAGGAGCCCTTAAAATTAGATGTCAATTTGCCTGCAAGGAAGCAGTTCTGTATTACAGATAACAATATTTTAAAAGCTTAAAAACTCACCTATGTGTTTTTTATCTGCTGAGTTATCCATTCACATTTTCTTTTTCTGCATCCTTCAGTAAAATTTCTATGTCTAGCCTACATACCTGTCATTTTAATGTTCAAGTCAAAAACAGTAAAAAAAATACTAAAAATACATTCAATTCTACATTGATTATAATACAACAAAAATCTATACAACATATACACGCTTCTTATAAGAAATGTGTGACCTGCTATTGACACAGAGGCATCATGGCCTTTCCAGAGAAAAGGTAAAGCTGCCTTTAGTTCATATTGATGCTACATTGAAACTAGTATTTCACCTCTGAATAAACATAAAACTTCCTAGCAAAGAAGTGGCATACACAGACACACACAATGACCATATAATTGCATTATCACAAAGAGTTTATGTACCATGTATACAGCGACCCATGCTAACTAAGTCTGTGAATGTATGTACAGAGAAATGTTTTGAACCCAGTGAAATTGGCAGTATTGTTTTATAGGTGATGATGAGAGGTATAGAAATGAGCCCCCAAAGCCATTTTAATCTCTTCTGGAAATCACCTTTGGACTGGATAAAAAAATACTTAAACAAGACTGTCCAATAGTTGGAAAGGGTGAGCTGTTTTCAAGGGTGGGTTGAGACTGCTCTGTAATTCACATGAGTTGCTCAGCAGAAATGACATCAATGAGAGATTCAAATTGCATTCAGATTGCTACTTCAGTGATAACTATATTGGTAATATAGTTGGTATTCAAACATTTGAATAATTACTCCTGAAAATGTTGCACTTATTTACATTGGTGCAAAATTCAATTCATATTATTTTCCAAAATAATGTTTTATCTTCCAAAGATTGCTGATGGATTATATCTTCATACTGGGTCTCCTGAGTTCCAAAAGTAGAGTCCACAATTAAATGACATTTAAACAGTATGAAATGTTTAAACCATTATGCAGCTGAATGTCCCTGAGAGTTCTCCTTTTAGCTTGTTTCTCCATGAACTTATGTCTGCTCTACAAAATCTGAGGAAATGAATGCACACATGTATATATTAGTTGACCACAAGGTGCTACTGCAATATAATTGTTAAATAGTAATAACAATAAATGTACATAACATCTTATGACACTACATAAATAATTTTATGCTAATTTTCCCTTTCAGAAAGGCTTTCTCCAGATCAGTTTAGGCTCCAGTTCTCCAAACAGTCCTGCATATGCTTGACTTTAAAAACATAAGTAGCACCATTATAATCAATATGCATAAAGTTAAGTGCATACAGAAATGTTTTCATAATCAAGACCACAATTAACTTGGTAAAGATGCAACTTAAATGTTATTAAAATATCTAAGAACAAAGGTTTAGACTAGGGTGGCGAACTTTTTTGAGTCGGAGGTCACTAACCAACAGAAAAATCAGTCGAGGGCCACTCACAAGTGAGAAGCAAAAACACCCAAACAAAACCCTCACTGACGTGGCCCCTGACTGAGAAGGAGAAAGACAGTCCCTGCATTCCCCTTGCAGACCAGAGCCTAGGCGGGTCCAGGCTGGTATATTCTGTGTGCTCCAAAGGAGGACAGAAGGGGACTGGAGTGCCAGTATAGGCTCCCCAATGCTGAGGGGGAGCCCAGAGCCTAAGGGGCCAGATCCAGGCAAGCCGTGGACTACATCTAGCTACTGGGTTTAGACATTTTTGCACTGAGCTCCATAATAAAAACAAGATTTTGCTTGGATTTATAGGAGTGACTGATTTTAACTGACATGAAATTATACTAACTGTTCTAATATTAATCATGCCAAAATATTTTACATGAAATTATACTAACTGTTCTAATATTAGTCATGCCAAAATATTTCAAAAAGCAAGTATAAAATACTGCTCATATAGTAGAATGATAAACACTGGCATTGACAATAAAGGGGAAGACTTCATGTTCATACATATTAGAGTGTCTGGTGAATTCTCTGATACTGGAACCAGAAGCACGTCTGACACACAATCACATAATGAAGTATAAAGAAAAGTTGGTGTATACCTTTCAGTATTTGTATTACTTCATATGACACATGATCCTTGAGACTGTCATACAAATTTTGGGCAGTTCCATTATTCTGTTCACCTTCCCTCCACTTGCACAACATCATGAATTTATAAACATTAACCTCGTCTTCCTTTGCCTGAATCTGATGAATATCTTTCATTTCTAACTTAAGGCATTCAATGGCAATTTCTTTCCAATCTTTACCCATCTTCCTTGCAAGAGTCATCAGTTGCTGGTCAGTTAATGTAGTTTTAGCTTTAGTTCCATCTAAAAAACATACAGGATACAAATAACAAATCGGCTCCAACATTCTTATTTTCAGTCGGTACTTAATTAAATGATTCCATTATTTTTGTATACTGCAACACAGAGATATGCAATGAAGGTGATCATATTAGGGTGTTGTAGGGATCTAAGGGTATGTCTAAACTACATGGCTCCGTTGACGGAGCCATGTAGATTTGTTTGTTCGGCAAAGGGAAATGAAGCCGCTCGAGCGACGGGTGCAGTGTAGTGCAGCACGCTAGTCTGGACGCTCCCCTGCCGACATGAAAGCCTTTTATCGACCTCCCCGGTAAACCTCATCCTACGAGGCATAACGGGGAGGTCAATAAAGGGCTTTCAGGTCGGTGCGGGAGCTGATCAGCTGTTTGTTGGCTCAGCGCGGCAGCCATTTAAATCGCGGCTTCATTTCCCTTTGCCGATCAGCCTAATCTACATGGCTCCATCGATGGAGCCATGTAGTTTAGACACACCCTAAGAGTTTAACTGGTTAGCCGATAAGCATTGGCTTATCGATTAACCTTACCAGTTAAACTCCCAGCCACTCACAGGGCTAGCAACCATCGGAGGCCTGCAGGGCCAATGGCACTAGCAGCCTTCGAGAGCCTGCAGGTTCAACAGCCATTAGTGGGGGTTTTTTTTATTTGCATCCCTATTGCATTTTCACTTAATTCATTGATGCTGCTATAATGATGACTAATAAAAACCTGTAGTGAGCTACTAGCTCACCAGGCAGTATAGGAAGGACAAGGAGAGGAGTAGTGGATTATCCACAGGGACACACATCTTGAAGGACCAGCATTACTGTACCATGTGAGTAACTTCTTCTTCATTGAGTGCTGTCCCTGTGGGTGCTCCACTTAGGTGACATAGTAGCAGTACCTGCCAGATGGTGGTGGGCATTGGAGTCATTTATGTAGAGCAGGGCTACTCAACATGCAGCCCATTTGTTTGCAGCCCACGGATGGGAACCAAACCAAAGAAGTAGTCAATATAATGGTCTTCTGTTGATATGCGATTTAGTAGTTAAATTCCTGGACAGTCATTGCTCATTAAAAGTACTGTCATATGGGTGGAAATTAGGTAAATATTGCACTTTTATTAATATCAGCAGAACTGACTTAAGTGGAGCCTACATGTTGTGTAGTCTTGTCTTAATCTTTGTATTCATAACCGTCAGTGTGAAAGGCTATTTGCATATATTTGCATGTATATGCAACTACACTTAAGCTGCGGCCCTCGGCATGTGCTATGAGTATCGTTGTGGCTCCTGGGGCTTCCAAAGTTGAGTAGCCCTGATGTAGAGGAAGGAAGGACCACATCTGCCAGAGATGTGGAGGGTATTTACCCTTTCTGTAGGGCGTAATGTTGTGCGAAAGTGTGATGGGGTCTTCAAAGTATTTGATGGCTTCAATATCTGAGATATAGGTGAGAGGATTATTCTAGGAGAGGTGGGTGAGATTTTGTGGCCTGCATTGTGCAGGGGGTCAGACTAGATGATCATAATGGTCCCTTCTGACCTTAAAGTCTATGGCTGTGTCCAGACTCAGGGTTTTTTTCGGGAAAAGTAGCCTTTTCCCGAAAAAACTTCCCCTGCGTCCAGACTCAAGCCGCGTTCTTTCGAAATAATTTCGAAAGACCGCGGCTTGAGTCTGGACGCAGGGGAAGTTTTTTCGGGAAAAGGCTACTTTTCCCGAAAAAAACCCTGAGTCTGGACACAGCCATAGACTTTAAGGTCAGAAGGGACCATTATGATCATCTAGTCCAGTGGTCCCCAACATGGTGCCCGCGGGCACCATGTTGGGGACCACTGGACTAGATGATCATAATGGTCCCTTCTGACCTTAAAGTCTATGGCTGTGTCCAGACTCAGGGTTTTTTTCGGGAAAAGTAGCCTTTTCCCGAAAAAACTTCCCCTGCGTCCAGACTCAAGCCGCGTTCTTTCGAAATAATTTCGAAAGACCGCGGCTTGAGTCTGGACGCAGGGGAAGTTTTTTCGGGAAAAGGCTACTTTTCCCGAAAAAAACCCTGAGTCTGGACACAGCCATAGACTTTAAGGTCAGAAGGGACCATTATGATCATCTAGTCCAGTGGTCCCCAACATGGTGCCCGCGGGCACCATGTTGGGGACCACTGGACTAGATGATCATAATGGTCCCTTCTGACCTTAAAGTCTATGAGTCTATGTTGGGAGGACCAGGGTTGTCTTGGCCAGGCAGAGGCTATTAGACTTACTGTGGCCTGGAGGGAGCGGATCTTGTTGATCACTCTGGCAAGTAGAGGGATTGGTGGAAAGGCATAGAGTAGGGGAACCATCCAGTGGATGGTGAAGGCATCCCCCTCCGACCTCTTGCCAGTCCTGCTTGGGAGCAGAACTTGTGGCATTTGCAGTTGAGTGCTGTTGCAAAAAGGTCTATAGCTGGGAAACCCCACTTGCGAAAAACGAAGAGAATATTGGTATTGATCTCCCACTCGTGTTGTTCCAAGAAGTGTCTGATGGCCCTGAGCTCCAGGATGTTGTTATGGAGGTGTCTCTCCCATTGGGACCATGTGCCCTGTATTGACCTTGTGCTATAATGGGCACCCCAGCCCATAAGTGATGCATACATCATTATAGTTATTGACAGATCTGGGTGATAGAAGGGTATACCGGCAAATATGTTGGTTGGAGAAGTCCACCAGTTGAGAGATTGTAGTACTGGTAGAGGAAGTGTGAGACACCTCACGAGGCAGTGTTGGGTTGGAATGTAGGTGGTTGCGAACCAATGCTGTAGGTAGTTCGCGGATAGGACAACAAAGGTTGTTGCCGCCATGTGCCCCAATAATTGGAGGCACATCCTGACTGTGGAAAAAGGAATATGCTTGACCCCCCCCCAAATGAAGTTGCAGAGTGCCCTGAATCTTTGTGGTGGCAAATAGGCTCTTGCTGTCACCAAATCCAGAAGAGCCCTGATAAATTCTATCTTTTGTGTGGGCTGTATGATGGACTTGTGTATATTGATAAGCAGGCCAAATTGGGAAAAACTTGCCCTGGTAGCAGTTGTCATCACTATAGTTTGTTGCAAGTGGAGCCCTTGATAAGACCATCATCGAGGTAGGGGGAAGATGATGACGTTCTGTCTTCTGAGGAAGGCTGTGACTATGGCTAGCATCTTCAAGAACACTCAAGGTATCGTAGAAAGACCAAAGGAGAGGACTCTGTATTGGTAATGGTCTTGACCTACAACAAATCTGAAAAATCTCCTGTGGGCCAGGTGGATGCTTACATGAATATATGTGTCTTGAAGGTCGAGGTCTGAGAACCAGTCTCTTTTGTCTAGTCCAGGTATTATAGTTGCAAGGGTCACCATCTTGAATTTTGCGTTGAGGATGAACTTGTTGAGTTTCCTGAGATCCAAGATTGGTCTCCATTCCCCTGGTTTTTTGGATGTTAGGAAATAGTTGGAGTAGAATCCTCTTCCTTGATATTCTGTAAAAACAGGTTCTGTTGCGCCTACGGTGAGTAAATTTTGCACCTCTGTTTTTAATAGGGGTTCGTGAGATGGGTCCCTGAAGAGGGAGAGGGTAGGGGGCATGGATATGAAGGGGACTGTGTAACCCGATTTGATAATCTCCCGTACCCATTTGTCTGTAATGATTTGGGCCCACTGTTGGTAGAAGGGGCTCAGGCAGTGATGGAAGGTGACATTGGAATGCAGTGGATCTGTGGAGTGGACACTCAGACCCCCTACCAAGACTTCAAATTTGTTATTTGTGTGAAGTCGACTGAGTGGTGGACTGGTTTTGCTGCATCTCCTCCTGTTAGGGTGTTGCTTAGGCCTCTGCTGTTGTCTGTAATAGTTATAATTATAGTTGTTTGGTAGGGAGTATACTTGCAGTTCTTATTAGGTGGGGTGTACATCCCTAGAGTGTGGAGTGTGGTACAAGAGTCCTTCATTGAGTATAGGACTTCATCTGTCTTAGTGACAAATACTTGTTTTCTATCAAAGGAGAGGTCCTCCACCTTTGATTACAATTCTTTTGGGACCCCTGATGACTGCAGCCATGAGGCCCTATGCATTACGATTGCTGTAGCTGTGGCCCTAGCCACCGTGTCAGCAATATCCATTACAGCCTGGAGGGCCATTTTTGCTATAGATAAACCCTCCTTAACAATGGACTGGAAGTGTAATCTCTTAACATCAGGAAGGTCCTGCAGTAGGTCCTGTAGTTTAGCATAGTTGGCATGATCATAGTTAGCCAGGAAGGTTGTATAATTTGATATCCTGAATTGGAGGGTGGCAGAATAGTATACCTTACAGCCAAAGGTGTCTAGCTGCATATGCTCTTTGTTGCAGGGTGTAGACTTAAATTGTGGGTTCATAGCCTTGTGACTAACTAAGTCCACGACCAGTGAGTTTGGCTGGAAATGTGTGAAGAGGAAGTCCATATCTTCTGCAGGGACAAAGTATTTTCTATCTGCCCTGTGATAGAGGTTGGATTTTGCCAAAGCACATCTGATGACTCCAAGATAGCTTTGTTGATGGGTAGAGCTATCTTTGAGGATGCCGTGGGTTGTAGTGTAATGTCTCTTGGAGTGTAATGTCCTGTGATTGAGCTACCTGCTTAAATAATTCTTGAAATTGTTTTAGATCGTCTGCCAGTGGAGAGGGCGATATCTAAAAAGCTGCCTCATCTGGTCTAGTGGATCTGGGGTCGTGTGAGGAACTCTCCGAGTCCAAATGAGGTAAGTTATCGTTCTCATTGGAGCCCACTTGTGTTATTACTGAGGGCGGGTGAGACGCTGAGGAATGCGTGGATATGGTCTGGGAGTGCATACATGTGTGCTGTTGTAATGTAGGAGCTGTATCTCTTGAGTCCGTGATTCCCAGAGGAGCCACTGAGGCTGAAACTGCTGTGGAGGATACATGCACGGCTGGTTGGGCCACAAGGGATGTTGCAGGGAATGATCCCGACTGAATGCCAGAGTGGTCATTGATCCCAGTGGAGATGAATGGCATGATGAAAATCTGCTCCTATGTCCGCTGCCATAGTCAGTTCTTGGTGAGAGCAGTGTAGGAGAGTGGGGAGCCCTTTCTGGCATATAAGTATGACTCTGGGTATAAGACACCACTGAGGAGCGTAGTGAGCAAGCTCCTGATCTGAGTGGTGTGCCTGGCTGAGGAGATTTTTGTAAGTGCTGGGTCTTGAGCAGCGCTTTCTTATGCTGCAGTGCTGGAGCACGATCGAGTTCAGTCTGACCAGGGATGATCTGTTCAGGCACTGTAGAAGTGCCTGTGGGAGCTGGTGGTGATGGCATATGTGGCTTTGTAGGTGTTGCTGCCTAAACAGCACTGACTGGTGCGGCATGGTTGGGTTCTGACTCAGCTCTCTTGGATGGTACAGATTTGCGTTTCTCCGCGGTGCCGGAAAGTGATGGCACCAGGGAATGAGAGGCTCTGGGCAGCGCTGTTAATGAGCGTGCCAGGGAAGCCCACAAAGCTTGTGAGCCTTTGGGGGTGGTGACGCCACCCTATCAATGGGCTTCTGATGTTCCCGTGTCTCCTCAGGTTTGTCCCGTGGTAGCCATATTTTGGGGTCTTTTCTGGCTCTGGCTGTCATGTTATGACAATACAGGCACTTATGTGCTGCATGACTCTCTCCCAGGCATTTAACACAGGAGGCATGGCCATCAGAAATAGGCATCAAGTCTTGACATGAGTCTCATCTTTTAAAGATGGGAGAACCTGGCATGTTAAAGAAAAAGCCGCAGCAGCGGTGCTTCTCAATCTCTCTTTTTTTTAAGCGAATGTTGAAAACTGTCATTAACTGCCTAAACTATGAAGCAAACTTTAAAATAACTATAATAATTTTTGTTTTTCCTGTCAGTAAGAAGAACACTGTTCTGACTCCGTCTTCAGCCAAGGTAGAAAAGGAACTGACGGGGCTCACAATGAGCACACTCGACAAATGGCAGGGGCACGTTGCTGGGTGTGCAGGCGCGGCGTGAGGGGCACTGCTCATCAAAAATCTCCAATCAGTGACATGAGGATGCACTGAGACCTGAGTGGAGCACCCACAGGGACACCACTTGATGAAGAACATTTTTTCTGATCATAAATAGCTACTTATTAGTGGAAAAAAATGCACAAGCCTGAACACACAGATACGCAGATATAAAGAATACCCAGGCATATCAGATGCATATGATATGCAGCACTGAACTACAAGCCAAGTTCCTTCAATTACTTGATACATGCAGGAATCTAGCATAATAGTCAATCTTAAAGTGTGCTACTGCTTACAGAGAATAATGATTATTATACGTTTGTAATAATTACTTTAATAGGAAGTCACAACCATGGTTATATCTGTCAAGTCAGAACTTCAATGGGCTAATCAGATTTCTCTTTCAGTGGATCATTTTATAAAATAAATGAAGTTTTAAAATGATTAAATAGCACCCTCTAGTGGCTAAAAGCCACCACAAAGAACAATGGTGAGCAACTTGAGGTCTGTGGGCGGCGTGTGGCTCATTGGAGTTCTATGTGTGGCCCGCAAGACATTCTGTTCACCCTTACCCATGTGCAGGGTGCCACATTCCATTGGTTTCCATCTGAATAGGCTTTTTTTTCTACTAGAATTACAGAGAAAACGTTGTTATCTGGCACTCATGGAGAATGGTGGTTGACAGTTAATTGAATGTGCTGGATACTCAAGCTTAGAGCTCTGACCCCGTCTGCTACTAGCAGATCTGGCCCCCAGCAGCTCAACGAAGGCTGAAGGGGAAAGAGGCACCTGTTGATGATGTCAGACAGTAGTGCCAGCTGTCAAAAGCCCTGCAATGGAAAGCTGGGAGTCAGGAGCATGAGCCTGAAGCTGCGGTGATATTATGGCTGGGGGCCACAATCTTGCAGCCCACTGAAACGAAGCAGAGGCACTCATGTAGCTCACTTGCTATCCTAAGTTGCTCATTGCTAATAGAGCCAATCACTGACATGCAAATGAAAACCTGATTCTTTCTTCATTTCTTGAATATCACCTTATACAAACATTATCATTATTTTCTTTGGATGAGCTGACCATGCAAAATAGGTACTGGAAGCAAAAGACATATCTCTTTCCTGGACAGACACTGTAAGGGATTTAAAATGTAAAGTTCTGAGCTAAAACTTTACATATATGAAATTGTAAACAAAAACTGGAACCAAATGTATAATTTAGAATAGTGCCTAATGTAACATAATATTCTTCTGGATGACATTTTGGTAATAAACACCACAGTGTCTATAATTTCTCTGAATAACTGTTAGGAAAGCCAGTAAGGCTGAAATGTTAGCAATGTTTGGAAAAAAACTAAGATTCTTAGAGACATCTAGAATTATCCATGCAACCTGTTACCTGTTAGCATATCCAGATGCAGCAGGTGCATCTGATATCGTAACCTACTGAATTAAGGCTCGAATTCAGCAAAGCATATAGGTGAGTGTTATTGGCTTCTCAAAGGCCTGGTCTACATTAGGGAGCTATTTTGAAATAACAAGTGGAACGTCCACACTACCAAGCCCATTATTTCAAAATAACATGCTGATTATTTTGAAATAGTAACTCCTGCTTTCTATAAGGAATAACACTTATTTCAAAATAGTTATTTTGAAATAGTGGTAGTGTGGATGTTCCACTGCTGCTATTTTGAAATAATTACTTTCCAGAGTTATTCAGCGTTTCCTGAGCTCTAAGTTGAGGCAGCAAGTCCACATTAAGGAAGCCTGCCTCAGACTAAGTTCTAGGCTTCCCTGTAGAGAGGGCACACTATTTCAAAATAGTTATTTTGGAAGTTATTGTTTCAAAATAAGTTATTTCTAAATAATTTCCTAGTATAGGCATGCCCAATGAGAGATACGGGGTGCTGAACAATTCTGAAAAATTAGGCTACAACTTTTAGAAGTCAGAATGAGAGCTGAACTCTGGGAAGATCCAGTCCCAATCATGGGTGAAGAGTTCTGGAGTTAAAAAAAAAACAGGAATATCACAAAAATTCTTCAAAGCAGCTCTTTTACCTCGATGTATGCATTTACCTAATTTGTAGCATCAACCTAGGGTCATACAAGTAAACATTTGCTCCTACAAATCAGGTATATTGATGCCTTTTGCTCCCACAAATACAGGTTTCTGCCCTCATAGATTCTGTGGTCAGATCAGTGGAGGCCAATTTAACATTTAGCCCTCAGAAATAAATAGGATAAAAATAAACCATAAATAAATATTTTTGAATTGCACAAAAATTTTCTACCTGAAATATCTGTACCCTTTGGCCTTTTATTATAAATCTCTTCTTCAGAAAGGCTGACGCTTGATTTCCGTCTTCTGTTACCTGAGGAATAGATGGCAATTGATTTTACTTCTTTTGCATCATATATTCTTCTCTTATGATTAATCAGCATGTACAAAAGCAAAGTGGCCTCACTCCAATGAAGAGGAGAGTAATTCCCCTTGGAGGACACAGATATCGTTGCCAATTTTGGTTGTATATATACCTGGAGGATTCATCATATGACATAATCTTTAAATTGTTGGCAACCCTCCACTGGAAATGCATGGGTGGGGCAGGATGTAGAAGATCAGGGCCCAGCAGGTCAGTTGCTTCTAGACCCAAGAAAGAGGCAGACAAGTTCTTCCACAGAGCTGAGCTCTAAGTGAGGTCCAGGACTAGTCTGATGAAAACCAGCAATCTACCGCACCAGGAGATGAAGGACATGAGAGAGACACTGGAGAAAGGGCAGCCTGACTGCAAACCTAAAAGCCAGAGTTGGGGTGTGATGGACTGATACCCACAGGAACTGTTAGGAAATAGCCCAGTGAAACCAGACATTGTTGTGGTTGTGCTACTGAGATGCAAGGCGGCAGCAGCCCATTTCCCTAATGATCCCGTCATGGGATTGCCTTCCACTGCTTGGGTCCTGGGCTGGGACTAAGTGAATCAGCATGGGCATGGGTCCTTTTTCACTAAGGAGCTAGTTGGGCCTGAAATCTTAGGCCTGAGACAGGGGCTTGTTGATCAGCACACATCCCAAAGGTGCCTGAGCCCAGAGATTGTTTGGTGGTTGCCTGTCGCAGCTAGGAGACAGAGAACTATTGATTGTTTAATTGATCAGCTCCCACTGGCCAATTGGGATTGCCAACTATGTAATATTTAAAAACTGGACACTCCAGCAGGAGGGCTAGAAATGCCCCACCTCTTCCCCCAAAGATCATAGAATAGTAGAACTGGAAGGAACCTTGAGAGATCATCAAGTCCAGTCCCCTGCCCCAGTGTTTCCCAATTTTATTTGGCCATGGAACCCTTTTCAGCTTTTCAGAATTTCAAGGAAACCCTAGGTTTGTCAAGCAAAGAAAAAAAAAAAAAGGGGGGGGGGCAACTCACTAGTGCATGAAAATCACATTCCTTCCTCAAGACCCCCTGCCCCTTCCTTGAGGCCTCATCCTCTCTGTTCCCCTCCTCTCCATCACTTGCTATCCCCAGCCCTTATACACTCTCACTAGGTTGAGACAGGAGGTCCAGGCTCTGGGGTGGGAATGAGGGATTTGGGTGTGGGAAGGGGTGAGAAGTACAAGCTCTATGAGGGAATCTGGATGCAGGAGAAGAGAATGTTGGCTCAGGGAGGGGGTTCCAGGCTGGGGAGTGTTGGGCTCAGGTGGAAGGTTGGGGTGCTGAGCAAGCCATGGGCTTGTGGATGTGAGGGTGCAGGAGTTTGGGCTGGATATGTGAGGGGCTCAGGGCAAGGAGGTTGTGAGTATCATGGGCTCAGGACACAGATTTGTGATGTGTGGATGGTGCAGGAGTGTTGTGGTAGAAGACTGAGGATGTGGGGATGCAGGAGTTTGGGGATGTAAGAGGCTCAGGACAGGGGATTCCACTGTATGATAGGCTCAGTTTTGGTGTCAGGTGGTGCAGGAGTGTTATGATGCTGCAGTAAGATTGGGATTTGGCCCCAATTGGGGACATGTTGGCCAGGCTTCATTTTAAATAAAATATTATGTCAAACTCAAAAGGTTTTAGCACTGTCTTTATTTATGAGAGGGGCGAGGAACCTGTTTTGAGTCAAGGGTCACTGACCCACAGAAAAGTGAGTTGGGGCTACACAGGTGAGATCCAAAAAAACCCCCAAGCCTTATTAATGTGGTCCCAACTGTGCTGGTGCAGGCAGGGGACAGGGTGGTAGTGGGTGGCAGGGCCGGGGAGAGGGTGCTGCTGGGTGGCAGGATGCTGAAACAGGTGGTGGGGTGTTGACTCCTCCTGCAATGAGGAGTAACGGTAGTTCGAATTAGGAGCTTTAGTTTGAACTACCTAGCCCGTGCCACATGTAGCACATATTTATATATATATAAATATATATAATATATGTGCAAAATATTTAAATCCCGACTTCATTGACTATGTCAGGTAGCCTATTTTACATGCCTCTGTTGGCAGAGGCATATAGTCTAGACATACCCTTAGTGTGCATCCCATGCAGGGACTGGGGACCCCTGCCAATAGGCAGTGTGCTATGACGCCTGGTAGGATGGGAAGTACTAATTGGGTAACTACATGGCTGCAAGTCAAGCTGCTCTTAAGAATATCTGGGTGACCTCCCAATCCCCCGACACTGCCAGAATGGGGTGCCCTAACTGAGTGGTTAAAAAAATAATGTAGTACACACTTTTCTTATAAATAACTTACTGATTGTGTTTCTTTTCTGTTCATTCTTGTTCTGGTCATGTAGTATCCAGTCACCTGTTAAAATATAAATGTTTTCTGGAGTAAATGAAAGGCACTGAAAATAATTCTCACTGCTAATCCAAAAATCCAATAATTCTCACACAGGAAAATTATTCATCTTTTATACTGCTCAGCAAGATTTAACAGCAGGGTACTGTAATGAGATATCATTTTGCTATGATTTTGTTACTTTTAACAAATATTTTACAGCACGTTTAATATGATGTGTTATCTTTAATAATTCAAACTCAACCATCCTTGCCAAAATAAATTAAAACATTTTACTCTGAAATGTGAAATTCTTTCAATTTTTACTCTTTGGTCAGTTGATTGAAACAGTACAATTTTTACCATTTCGTCAGCCTGATTCTAACTCATGGAAATTCAGATTTAACCCTTGGCTAAATCTGACCTTTTGTAACAGGTTCTCTGTTATCAATATAAATAAGCAAGGTTCTCCTATAGTGTTATTCTAAATCAGCTTTACATAACATTTGTGAACTAACTCTTTTTTGAGAGACAGTTCCCAAATATCCTAATAGCTATGGGTATGTGTACACTACCCTCCTAGTTTGAACTAGGAGGGTAATGTAGGCATACCACACTTGCAAATGAAGCCCAGGATTTGAATTTCCCGGGCTTCATTGGCATAAGCCGGGCGCCGCCATTTTTAAATCCCGGCTCGTTCGAACCCCGTGCCCGGCTTATGCAAATGAAGCCCGGGAAATTCAAATCCCGGGCTTCATTTGCAAGTGCGGTATGCCTACATTACCCTCCTAGTTCGAACGAGGAGGGTAGTGTAGACATACCCTATGTTAATCTGTGTTTATTTCATTACCAAGATTCATGCACAACCTACAGATTTTTATAATGACCAGCAACTTGTTGGAAAATCTATTTACTTGAGTAAAACAGGAAGAAACATTTCTGAAAATGACAAAGTACAATACTATTTTTGTTATAGGTTGATCCTCTCTAGTTTGGGATTCCCTGGACTGGCACAATTTTAGTTAGCCAGATATCCACTTATCATGGGCATGGCCAAGTTTCTGGCAGTCCCATAAAATTTGTTTACAGCCACCAGTCCTGGCTCATTGTTTTGTGCTGTTATTTAGATCTAATTTTCCTCTAAATGTCTTCAAATAGCTCAGGCTATGTATAGACTTCAGGCTTCTTTCAGAAGAAACTTTTTTCAGAAGAGATATTCCGAAAAAACTTCTTCCGAAAGAGTGCATCCACACATAAAAGCGCATCGAAAAAGCGATTTGCTTTTTCGATAGATAGCGTCCACACTGAATGGATGCTATACGCTATCTTGCATTTCAGCTGTGATTACTATGTCCAGCTCTTACTACTTTTAAAATGCCGAGCCGCAAAAGTCCCAGATCTTCTGCCTCTATATTTTAAATGTACTAAGAGCCTTACTACATTTAAAATGCAGAGGTACATCGGTTCGGGACCCGGTGCAAGCTGGAACTGCTGAGTCTCGGCTTGCACTGGTCTGTATACGCTATCTTGCATTTCAGCTGTGATTACTATGTCCAGCTCTTACTACTTTTAAAATGCCGAGCCGCAAAAGTCCCAGATCTTCTGCCTCTATATTTTAAATGTACTAAGAGCCTTACTACATTTAAAATGCAGAGGTACATCGGTTCGGGACCCGGTGCAAGCTGGAACTGCTGAGTCTCGGCTTGCACTGGTCTGGGA